TCTCACACCACTCATCTAACACCACTCATCTTACCACCTATCTTACACCACCCATCTCACACCACCTATCTTACACCACCCATCTCACACCACTCATCTCACACCACTCATCTTACACCACCCATCTTACACCACCCATCTTACACAACCAGATCCAAACCCCGCTGACGCTGGACTCTGAAAGAAACAAATTTGTTTTGCTGCCTGAGAAGCAGCATGGTGCTTGGTTGTTTTGCAGTCCCTACTATCCTCACCGCAATTGACGATCCCGAAGGGCCATTTTGAAGGTTGAGATGGGTCTGAAGAAACGACTTTCCTCCCGTGTCAATGTCACGAATGCACATTGGTTGATTTGATCCACTTCCATGTTTTCCGTTTGCTGTTCAGCTTACGAGGGCCCTTGACCGCCAATCGACCGCTCGCCTTTCACAGAAATCGCTGCGCTTTTTCACTTCGACGGGAACGAGACTTCGATTGGCTTCATCTCTTGCAAGGAGAAACACTTGTTTTGGAGAATTGAAAATATAATAATTTTTGGAGGAAGTTTTATGTGAAATGCTCGTTTTTGAGATTTGATACGTGAAGATTTTGATATATGAATTTTTGAAGACTTTTCGTACGAAATGTTCGTTTTGTAGATTTTAACGTTTGAGATCCTCAAAAGGATTTTTTTATGTGAAACGTTCGTTTTGTAGACTTTAACATATCCTTTTTTTGAGGAAATTCCGCATGATTTTTTTTTTGGAGACTTGATGTGTGATTTTGTCTTATCTATTGTTGAAAGTATAGATGCGTGAATTTCCGGTTGTGATGTCCCTGCATTATGTTGTTGAATTATTGAAATAGAAAAAGTATTTGCAAACCTTTTTTTTTTTTCAAAAACTTTTCCTTAGAAATTTTTGGTTTGACGAAGCGGAACAATATGTATATGAAAAAAAAGAATTCTTTATGTATTGCAAAGTGATTCCGGCAAATGTATATGATGGAAAAAAATGAATTATATTTCATCTAACAGCGTGTGATGGCTTTACTGTATCAAGGGAGTGAATGATCGGCAGACAATAAGGTGATCGTCAAAAACAGCAGTTGCTTGGCCTTTGTTGCTCCAAGCAACAGGAAACGCACGAAGGAAATCTTAAATTGAACCTCGAGATTTTCTGCTTGCGTCACTGTTGTTGCTTTTGCAATGGGAGTGTGTGAGGCCTAGGGCCTACTTTTAGGGATGAATTGATGGGAACCAAATGTCCAGCGCCTCCAGCAGATTGTGTTTTTTTTGGATTGTCTCCTGTCATCCCCTAATACTGGGGAACCTGGAAATAGAGATTTCGTGATGGGCGCAACGTTTGATTAAGCTCCAAACGTAATTTACGGGAATTATGACTGGGTGCAATCTGTTTGTTGTTGTTTGTCCTCGGTCATGGGCAAGTGGAGAAGCCGTAGGATGTTTTTGGGTGCCACCAGCACAGGCAAATCTATCTGGGCGGCCAATTTTAAACCAACCCGAGGACCAGGCTCGACATTTTTGTGCAGAGGGTGAGTTGAAGCAACTACAGGCATTAGAGCCGTCGTCCTCTTGGTAACTGCACGCGCCCTGGCAGCTGCCTTTCCATTTCCTTCTGCTCGATTTTTTTGCACGGTTGGCTGGGCCATGTGTGCATGGTGCTCGGCGACCGCGGGTGTTTTCAATGTTCTTGTGTCTTGGAGTTGCGTTCCATTTGATATGCTACATTGACTATTCGCAAAAACTCTGTCCAAACAAACAGCCTTTTTGGGGCCATGACCAGGTCTGCTTTTTGATTGTCTGCAGATCCAGAAAAACGAAACATATCCACCAGAACACACAGTCTTGTTCCAGGGTTTTTTGACTACACAGTGTCGTATGCGCTGCTTTCGTTGCTCTCCAAGTGCAAGTGTCCTGTTGTCAGGAAGCTTTGAAGCAATGAAGGAAGGACGTTGAAAAAAGATAGACAAGCTTGCATAGTCCAGCAATGTTGGAGGCCATTTCTGATTTTGTTGCCCCATGTTTCATCTTCCATTCTGTCGGTCTACGCGACCCTTTTCATCCACCCATCCATCCTTCCATCCATCCATCCATCCCTTCATCCATCCAGCCCTTCATCCATCCAACCACCCACCCACCCATCCCAACCATCCATCCATCAAACCATCCATTCATCCATCCATTCATGACATAAATAATAAATTCAGGGAACCGAAGAGGAAGAGGAAGATCCTGTGCGGGTCGGATAAGCGGCGATGCTTTCGCCGCGTCTTCACCAGACGATGAAGCAAGCCATCCGATTTGGAAAGCCAGATCGAGGTGTTCAATCGCAGGGCCACTGCCGAGATGACGACAAACGACAACGCTGGCTCCAAAAAACGGAACCCTTCGGGGAAGGTGTGAATGAAAATGAAACAATGAAATGGAAAATGACAGAATGAATATCTAAAAGGACAAAATGTTGTTTGTAATATGAAATCCCCATGTCGCACTTTATTAATCACGAAATCTATGTTTAGAGATTTGCCCAGTCGTTGACTCCCGTAAAAATTGCGTTTCGAGCTTAATCAAACGTTAGCCCATCATTTCGAGATTCCTCCAATATTGCATTACTTCCGAAATTTGCATTTAAAAAAACATTCGAAATATTATTCCCTCCATAAAATTTTTGATCGAGGTTCATAAATTATTATATCTTTCACGAAATCTACATATCAATATTCATAAATATGATCAATACCTACCACGTAATATACGCATCTAAATTCATAGAATTACATAGCTCCAACAAATCATTCATTTCGAAATAAATTAATTTCAATTTCAACAAAAAACATCAGAAATATAAAATTTTCATTATATTAGCCACATGAAAATCTATCTACCAATGCAACGAAAAGACAATCGTTTGATCGCCCCAAATCGACGAATCTGTGCAATGGAAATACACATTAAGTATGTGGAGAAAAAAAATATCTATACAAAAACCAAATACATCGAAATAGCAAAATTTTCCTTCTTTCCTAACTAATACCATAAAATAGTGCAAATATATTCATATTGTGTAAAGTAGAAAGCAAA